ATGATATCTGAGGGGAGCAGGTGTTGTAGTCACAAGACCCCTTTAAGCTGCAAATGACTGTAGAGGTCAGCCAAGTTAAGCCCGTTATTGTGAAAATGGGGAAACTGATGTCCAGAAAAGAGACAGATTTCCCAGGCTGCCAGATGGTTGAGCCTGTTCTTTGTCCTGCCAGGGTCCAAGTGGTGCTTGTGAGGGTGCTGCCCTCCGGGGCATCTGGCAATCCACCTTCTTAAGACTGAGAAATAGTTAATTGTAAGCCTTTATTGAGCTCCTACTGTGTATCTCTCTCAAGTGCTAAGCCCTGAGGATATAAATAAGAAAAAGAAAGAGTCCCTCCCCTCCCTGAGCTTAAAGTCTGATAGGGGAAGTTGGGACAGAAGGAATCTGAAAAGGGTGGGGAGGAATTAAAGGGAGGAGAAAGTATGTGTGTGGGAGAAAGGTCTCAACTTAGGACCTTCTTGCCCCAGTTCCCAATAAGAATTAATAGTTAGCTTTTATGTAGCACAGTAAGGTTTGCTTGGCACTGTATATAGGCTATCTCATTTAATCCTCACTATAACCCTGGAAGGTAGGTGCTGTAATTATCCCCATTTTACAGATGGGGAAACTGAAGCTGAGAGAGATTAAGTGACTTTCCCAGGGTCACACAATTAGTGAATGCTTGAACTCTGGACTTCCCAAGTTTGGTTCTCTGTTCACTACATCACCCAGCAGCCTCAGAGTTCCATTGTATGCCTAGCCCCCTCTTTTCCCTTCCTATCATTAACTCTCCAGTGATTAGCACAGTCCAAGAGCTTGATACGTTTGAATTGAACTGAAGAATTGGCCTGAGAGGGGCATGTAGGGCAAGCTGTAGTAACTGAGGAAGCTCCCCAAGTCTGGAGAGAAGGCTCAGACTCTCCCTGAGACTGAGAAGAGAATGCCCCATGTCCTACAGGTGTGCCAGCGGAATTCAGGGCTGAGGGAGTTCAGAAGTGGGTGAGTTGGGTGGGGCTGCTGAAGGCAGTTCTGGGCTGGTGGGAGGCCTGTGGGGCTCCATGCCTCAGTTTCTCCATCCATAAAAGGTGATTGCTAAATTCTCTCCTAATGCTGACATCCTACAGATGTAGTTAGGCAAAGCTTCAAGGTAGGACTTGAGCTGACAATAAGTGTTTACAAATACCTGCTATGTACTGGGGGAGGAGAAAGAGAAGAGAGGGCACATATGATAGAAGCCAGACTCCTGCCCTCAGCATTGGCATTATCCTGGAATGTTTGGAGCACAGGGAGTCTGGCCCAGTGGAAGCAGAGAAGACATGGCTAGAGCAGTGTGAAACTCTAAGACCATAGGATTTAGCCTGGGTTTTTTCCAAACAAATGAAGAGACTCTTGCCTCCTAGCGGGCAATGACTTGGTCATGTAAGTAGTAAGTAGCAGGACCAGATCCAAACTGACATTCAGTCTTTTTTCCGTGATATCCTTCTGCCTCCCTCTCCCAGATAAGACTGGGAAGGTAATTGGGGATCACATGAGGTAGGGTCTTGCATGTCAGACTAAGGACTATGGAATTTATCCCCTGGGCATATAGGGAGCCACTGAAGATTTGTGTGCTGGGGAATGTTACAGAAAGTTTTGTGCATTAGGAAGATAAATCTGTGTGCAAGATTGGTTGGGGATGGGCATGAGGGGCAAGGAGCCTGGAGGTGGGGAATCTGGAATGGAAATGGACAAGGCACAAATCTCGAACGTGGCAGAAATGAATCTGGGGGTCAGGGTTGACCACAAGCTGAAAACTAGTCTCATGAGCGAAGCCAGAAAGCACCTCGTCCCAGTGCTGTGGCCAGATGCTGTGCATCACTTGCACCTAAGATGATCACAAGATTTTAGAAATCCTGGAAAGGACCTTAAAAAGAATATATCCCAGTCCCCTGATTCTATCTGACATAAGCTGTCCACAGAGGATGGGAAGGAAGAAAATGGGGAGCATTGAAACCTTAACAATCTACCGCCCTTGGAGGTAGGGCGAGGCTAGGAATTGTGGTCAGATTAAAGGAAGAGCTCTGGTGAAGGCTCCAAGGATCTGTAACATTTTTATCAGTTATTTGGATGGTGAAAGCATCTCTGGCATACCTATCAGACTTTCAGATGCCACAAAGCTGGGAGTGGTAGCTAACTTGTTAGACAACGTAGTCAGCATGCAAAAAGATCTTAGCAGGCCACAGTGATGAGCAGAACCTAATAAGGTGAGATTTTAACAGATGATCATTTTTGACATAATAAACATCAACAAAGTTGAACAACTCCCTCTGCCAGCAAGCGGTTCTGAGATGGAACTAAATGAATTACAGAAAGCCCATCTATAATTTATAGACTCAGAAGTGGGATGTGAACCCTGGTCTTCCTACAGCCAAGCCCACTTGCTATCTGCACCATGCCACATCTTACCAAAGAATAACAAGTAGGTTTGTTCCATGTCCCCTTCCAAGTCTGGCTTTCCCTTTTTTTAGTGTGTGTACATTTGTTTTGACTGAAGATGAAATGTAATAGATAGAAATGCAAAGTTCTGCACTTCAGTTCAAAAAATCAATAGCACAAGGAAAAGATTATTCAGTGAGTCTAGCTTCCTGCAGGCCTCGGAGTGAGTGACCAAGGGGACAGTATGGCATCTTATATTATCTAAGGAGAAGACAGAGTGGCAGAATAGATGTTTAAAGTCAGAAGAACTGGTTTCAAATTCTGGCTATGCTACTTATTATCTGTATGACCTTGTATGTCCCTCCTCTTCTCTGGGCCCCAGTTTCCTTCTATAAAATGAGAAGGTTGGACTAAATCAGAGGCTCTTAACCTGGAGTCTGTGAACTTTTTTTTTAAAAAAAAAATTTGATAACTGTATTTCAATCTAATTGGTTTCCTTTCTAATTCTGTGTATTTTGTCATCCTGTATATGCTGATGAATTTAAAGACATTATTCCCAGAAGATAGGTATAGGCTTCACCAGACTGCTAAAGGGGTCCATGGTACAAAAACAAGGTTAAGACCCCCTGGACTGGATGGCCTTTTAGGTCCCTTGCTTTCTTGATTCTGTGAGTAGAGATGGGGACCTTTGGCGACTGTTAGCCACCTGGATTCAGGGGTGGGGTCCACCCCCTGTAATACAGCTGGAACATTATTGGGAGGAAGGAAGGGCTGAAGAAATTCCAAAGGCTGGTACTGCAATCAGCAAAGGTGAAAGTCTAGGGGATCAGGCCTGGGCCAGTGTACCAGGAAGGAATCCATCCTTGCCCCAATCCCTCTCCCTAATAGGCCCTGTTGACTTGGCTCAGTCATTTGGAGTGGGGTGGAAAGGGTCATCTGACACCACCCGTCTTAGCTGTTTGGGGACAAAGGGGCAGGGTCCATTCCTACCCCCCACCAGGGTTCAACCCGGAAATCCCCAAAAGAAGTAACATGAGCCATCCCCTCCCCATACACAGACACCTGTCTTGGATAGAGTGTGTTGAGGAAGGCCAAGTGGCAATAGGGTAATACCCAATGGAGGAGGCTGTATTTACAGAAAACAGCTGGGACTTTGAAGAGGGAAGGCCTCCCAGAGGTGAGGACTCCCGAGCTAGGTTTTGAGGGAGCTCAAGTGAGTGAGTGGGCAAGTATGTGTGTGTGGGGGTGGAGGTGGGGGTGGAGTATGTAAAGGTCTCACACTTTCTGGAGCATTTGTGCCCTAAGGCATTGCCCGCCTTCTTGGAGGGCCAGGCTGGCTGCTTCCCTCTCTGGGGACACAGTCCCCTGGCAGTGATCAGAGTAGGTGATGCTTCTTAAGAGATACTTACTCCCCACCCTTTGTGCAGACACACACATCCAGGAGGGAATTCTGGAGGAGTGGTGCCCCAGGTGCAAACCTAGGAGTGTATAGTTTCAGGTTCATTTCTCAGGCCTAGGGCCAAGGAGAGTCTCAGGCCTACTCACCTGTTCCCGCCTCTGAAACCCCTCCTTCACTTTCTATGCTTCAGGAAGCTCTCCTGCCTTACCCCCACCCCAGGACCTTTTTCGGTCTGTTCTATGAACCCCTTGTTCCCATCTGACCTGCCCCCTTGCCCCTATTCACTCACACACTGCTGGTTGGACTTCAGCGGGGACAGGGTTAAAGGCCAGGCCCCTCCTTTTGCCAGTGGGAGGTAGAAGCTCGAGGGGTGGGGCAAGGGACCCAGCTAGCAGAGAACGGCAGCACCACCATCCCTAAGCCCTCTGGGTGAGTCACCCTCAGGCCAGGGGGCTCCTAGCTAATAGGATTAGGTCCCTGTGGGTTGGGACATTTGGGTTTCTTTCTAGCACCTCCCCAGATTTAACTGCTTTGGGGGAGGGGAGTATAATGAAAGCCTAAGCCTTCAGTTCCTCCCTTGTCTCTGCTTTTTCCCCCTTCCCTACATGCGCACACCTGTAAAGGTGCCCAGGAGTGAGTGCACAAACACGCATGCCCCTCCTCCTCCCCATTTCCGCATTCCAGTGTAGGGGTTGGGAGGGGGATTTGGGGCAGGTGGTGAGGTTAATGATAAATGGAGGAGGTTTGAGAATGTCCCTTCCATTTCCTCCCCCTCCTCCTTCTCACCCCCCAGGTGAGTGTTAGTACTGGCTGCTGAACCTTTTGTGTCAGGCAAAGGAGTGGAAATGTCAGAGCCCTTGACCCCACATGGCCCTGGAAGTCTGTGTTACAGGAAGGGAGGAGGAAACAGGAGTCTGGGATAGAGGGACCCCTGGGGCCAGGCATAAGTTTCACTGACTGTTAGAGTAGGCATTCAAGTTCAATCTCCTCTTTTTACAAAGGGAAAGACTCCAGCTCAGAGAAGAGGAAGGGACTTCTTCAGGGTCAAGGTTGTTAGAGCCCCTCATCTGTAGGCCCAGTGGCTGAGGCCAGAGGAGGAGAAACAGCCCTGAAGGGCAGGTTTCTGCTACCAGAGTCTCCCCAGGAGTGATCAGAGGCCCTCTCCAAGCCTAGACATCCTCGATGTGGGGTCAGTGGGAGCCCAGGGGCTGGGAGTTGGCCCTCTTTTCCCTCTGCTCTCTCCTTTGGCAAGTTCGTTTCACTCCCGTGTCTTTAATTGCCACCTCTGCACAGATGCTTGCCATTGAGACTTAAAAGAGTACAGGACTTGTAGCCAAGACAGACATGAGTTCATGTCTGAGCTCCAGTGCATTTCCAACTCTATGACCCTGGGTCATATGACTGATCAGCGTTTTGAGCCTTGGTTTCCTCACCTGTAAAATGGGAGTAATACTTACTCTTATGGGGGCATTGTGAGGAAAGCAGTCTTTAAACTCCCCAGCGTTGTATAGATGGGTTATTGTTATTCTGCCTCTGCCTTTGACCTCTTAGTCACATCCCCCTCCAGCTTCATCTCCTGACTTTATTCTGTCAGTCATGTCAAGTATTTATCAAGAGTCTCACTATATGCCATGCACTGGACATATTACGAATGGTGAAAGGTTTCAAGGAGCTCACATTCTAATGGAAAAAGAGCATTCAAACAACTATGAGCAAATAAAATAAACTAGATACAAGAGAAATTGTAGGTGATCCAGAGGGAGCCACCAGCATCAAAGAGGATCGGAAAAGGCTTCCGGCAGAAGGCAGGATTTTAGCTGGGATTTAAAGCTGAGGAGGAAGAGAAATCCAGAGACCACTTCTCCGAAGTTTCCCCTGTTCACAGTTGGAGGGTTACCTTTCACTTTCCTCTTCCCTAGGCTCTCCTGTCCACTTGGTTGCCGAGCCCCGTCCCTCCACCTCCCCAGGGTCTCATGGCCCTCCACCTCGGCTTCCCCTGTGGGCCCCATCACCACCCACTCTGCACTTTGGCAATGGCCTCCTCCAAGTCCAGTCTCTGAATCCAGCTCTCTTTCTATTGTATCCTGCTGCCTCCCCAAGGTTCTCAAGGTCATATCGATGAGCAATTATGGAGTCATAGAATGAGAGCTGGAAGAAAACCGAGAGGCCATCAACCCCAGATGAAAAAAACCACACTCTAGGTAGGTTCAACATCTTACCCAGGGTCACACAGCTAGTAAGTGTCAGAGGCAGGTTTCAGACTCTGAGTTCAGTTCTCCCATTGGTCCACTATGACATGATATCCCTTCTGGACACAAACCCAACAGACCCTAGCAGCCTGGGAAGCTTTTTAGGGAAGGGCCCCAAGAGAGACAGTACATCTGTTAGCCAAGAGGAGCCTAGCTAAGTTTGGAGAGGCTCATCATCCCACCGGCCCAACCACCCAGTAAGACCAAGGAAGGCATAGAGAAGTTGCTGCTGTGTGTTGCCCACACATGGATCAACTCCCAGGGCCTTGAAATGTTGAAATTAGGCACAAATGGGTAAAAATCTGCAGTGGTCTTCTTTAGTACCTACTGAGGAAAGTTCAGACTTCTCTGCCTGGTCCTCAAAACCTTCCCCGACCTGCTGCCAAGCTACATTTCTGTCCTTTCCTTTCCTGTCCTGATGCCTAACCCCATTCCATCCTTCCTCAGCCATCCCACATCTTCTCTATGGTCCAGCTCAACTGGACCACTTTCTGCCCTCTCCTGCTTAAGCCAGATGGCTGAGGAAGCCTTCCCTGTTGTCCCCTCGCCCTTTATAAATAAATGTAAAGAAATAAATAGGGCCTTCCTCTTTGGGCCCTCCCAGTCTTTTTTTGGGGGGTGGGTGGATAGGGTGTGTGTGGGGTGGGGGGTTCCTGGGATGCATATGCTGTATCATAGAAAGAGTGTTGCACTTGGAGCTGCAGGACTTCTATTTGAACTCTGACTCTGGTATATAAACTGTGTGACCACGAACAAACCACATAATCTCTCTGGGCCTCAGTTTCCTCATCTGTAGAATGGAGATGATAAAACTTACAGTACCTCTCTTACAGGATTATTGGGAGGAAAGTTCTTTGGAGGGAAAATGCCAAAATACTATAGAGTTGTTGTTATTATTACTGTAAAAGAACCTGCTTAATCTCTGGGACACCAACTCCACTTCCAGACTGGTGCTGAGGATTATTTAATTACTGCCTTAGTAATTTAGTAATACTGCCTTACTTCTCCTTTACTAGTCCCGTTCTTTTTTAATTTCTAAGCCCTAGCTCAAATCCTTAACCCTTGACCTCCCATGGCCCTCAGCTTGCCTATCTCCCTGGATCCAGAGGCCTATCATACCCCATCTGTAATGACCTCCCTTCTTTGGCTCTGCCTGCCACTATCCCTGGACCCCAGTTCTGCCATTTCCTCCTCCTTCCTTTCTGTTCTCCCCTCCCTCCATCTCCACATACTCCGGATCATAAGAATGAAAGTGGATTTCAGAGTTTATTCACAAGGGAAAGAGGTCACACAAGAAAACTCTCTAGAATGGGATTACAGGAAATTAAATATACATATAAAAAATAAAAATAACTACCCTCCTTCCTTTTGTACTTGAAAGTTTACAAAACCCAAAGCAATTTTTTTTGAGGAGGCAGCATGTTATCCCTGTTTTACAGATGAGGCAGTTGAGGCTCAGAAATGAAATGACTTGCACCAGGTGTCAGAACCCAGTCCTGTGCTTTTTTCCAGGTTACCTAGGTAGGACCTGAGCCTCCTAATTTCTTCTGTAACTCAAGAGTCCTAGTCCTAGTTTACCCTCTTGATTCTTTCTCCCTCCCCACAGCTCTGCATCCTCCTGGTGCCCACTTCGGAGCCCAGGGCCCCCAGCTAATTTTAGGTTTGGCTACTAGAATAACCCTGTTCTGTAATCACCAGCTCCTAGAATCAACTGCCCTGCCTTGCCCACAGGGGGCAGTATATGCCAGTGATTCTAATAGCACCTAGGATTTTTGTATTTGGAGCTGGAAGGACCCTAGTCATTTTACAGGTAGGAAACTGAGGTCCTGAGAAGGCAGGGATTCACTCAAGGTCACACAGATAGCGAGAAGAGCTGTCGTTCAGTCCCATGGTTTCTGACTCTAAATGTGTAACTGCATTTCTTGCATCATACTATGGAAGAAAACTCAAGTTAGCCCATTGCCCAGAACTGAGGATAATCTGACCTGAAATCCAGTTTGCCTCCTAAATTCACAAAGCCATCCTTTTTGTCATGCATACATAATTATGTTAGAGCTATCTACATAGTTCTCTTATTCCCTCCCAGACTTTCTGAGGGCAAGGAATACGTTTCATCCAAATTTGTATCCCCTACAGTAGCCATCACTAGGCTCTCTACAAAGGGACTACCCATAGGGACTGGACCTTGGTATAGGGGGGGACCTGAGGCCTCAAGGCCACATGTGGCTCTCTAGGTCCTCAAGTGCAGCCCTTTGACTGAATCCAAACTTCACAGAACAAATCCCCTTCATAAAAGGATTTATTCTGTAAAACTTGGCCACACCCAGGACCTTAGAGGGCCACATATTGCCTTGAGGCTGGAGGTTCCCTACCCCTGGTATAAGGAATGCTTAGGAGAGGAAATTCCATCTACTGATGCAGAGTGGTGCCTTCTCTGTTTTAGAGAGTTGCCTAAAGCACAGAGAGGTTAAGGGGTTTGTTTGGGGTCTCACAGCTAATATGTGTCAGAAGAAGGATGAACGCAGGTCTCACTGGTCAGCTCTCTATCTTCTATGCTTAGCAGCCTCTTACACATATATAGTAGACATTTAATAGATGTTAGTTGAATGAATGAATGAATGAGTGAAGGACCATTCTGGGGCTGTGGAGGCTGGGACCAGAGGGAAGAATGTCTCCTGGCTGACCAGCCCCCTTGTCTGCAGTGCCCCGCTCACTCAGCCATGGCGAAACTGGAAACCCTGTCCGTGTGTGCTGACCCTGGCCGCGACCCCCTCCTGGCCTTTGCCCCTCGGCCACCTGAGCCCCGCCCCGCAGCCCCTCGCCTGGTGGCCATGGGCAGTGTGGGCAGCGGTGTGGCCCACGCCCAGGAATTTGCCATGAAGAGCGTGGGCACACGGACGGGTGGGGGCTCAGGTGGGGGTGGCCGAGGGGGCTACCCTGGGCCAAGGGGCAGTGGGCCAGGGTCTGGCAGTGGGGACCTCCCAGCCAGATACCCCTCCGAGGACAAAGCCCTGGCCAACTCCCTGTACCTCAATGGGGATCTGCGTGCCGGGGCCAGTGGTGGTGTCAGTGGAGACCGGACGGATGTCTGTGGCAACATGGTCAGCAGCAGCAGTGACAAGGCCCCACCCCAGTACCGGGAGCCCAGCCACCCACCGAAGATCCTGCCCACCTCTGGCAAGCTGGACCAGGTCAGCCCTGTGTGCTATCTTTAGACCCCCACCAGAGGAGGAACTCTCAAGCCTGGGGGTCCCCACTCTCATTCCTGAGTGGTCAGTGTGGGGAAATCTAGGAGAGTCCTCATCTGAAGGGGCTATCAATAGGGAGGCACGCGGGTGGAGGGCCCAACCCCCTGGATACCTGCCTCCCCTAGCATGCAAGGAGCAAGGGATCCCAGCTTGAAACCCTGTCAGTTTTTCCTAGTGCATAAGCAGCTCAGGGCACACTGTCTTGAATTCCCGTCCCCATCTTCTCCTGTACACAGTGAGCAGAAGGGCCCCTCCCTCTAGTGCATGTAAAACAGCCTCAGCCCTGATTGCTGCTTCCAGTGTACTGGGAGTGGAGGCCACATCCTGAGACTGTCTTCTTTTGCAGTGCACAGAGCCTCTGGTGAGACCATCAGCCTTCAAGCCAGTTGTGCCCAAGAACTTCCATTCAATGCAAAACCTGTGTCCACCCCAAAGCAATGGGGCTTCAGACGGGCGAAAAGGCCCCGGGGGCCTGAAGGGTGGTGGGCTGGACAAGGCACGGACTATGACCCCAGCAGGCAGCAACAGTGGGGGTGGTGGAGGCAGCAGTGGGGGTGGAGGACTCTCCGACTCAGGCCGCAACTCACTGACCAGTCTGCCTACCTACAGCTCAGGCTACAGCCAGCACCTAGCACCCCTGAGTGCCTCCACCAGTCACATCAACCGCATTGGCACAGCCAGCTATGGGGGTGGGGGTGGCCCCAACAGTGGGGGCCCTGGCTATCATGACCTTTCCTCTTCAGACAGCGGGAGGGCTTCCAGCAAGAGCACACCCTCCTTTGGTAGGCTGAACCCCTTGGGATCTGGGGAGGGCGGTGGCACCAGTGGCGTGGGAGGGGTTGGTGGGGGCCTGGGCTCTTTCCCGGCCTCTCCCCCTTCACCGGATGCAGTGATCCAGGAGCTGGAGGAGCGCCTGTGGGAAAAGGAGCAGGAGGTGGCAGGGCTTCGGAGAAGCCTGGAGCAGAGCGAAGCGGCCATTGCCCAGGTGTTTGAGGAGCGGCAGAAGGTGTGGGAGCGAGAGATGGAGGAGCTGAGGCAGAACTGTGCGGGGAAGCTGCAGCAGGTGACCCGCCGTGCCCAGCGTGCCCAGCAGGGCCTGCAAATGCAGGTGCTGCGACTCCAGCAGGACAAGAAGCAGCTTCAGGAAGATGCAGCCAGGCTCGCTAGGCAGCGAGATGAACTCCAGGAAAAGGTGGCTGCCTGCCAGAAGGAGCAGGCTGACTTCCTGCCCCGTATGGAGGAGACCAAGTGGGAGGTGAGGGAGCTGCGTGGGGTTGAGGGGTAAGCTAGGCTTGCAGATAAAAAAACCCCCAAAATCCACAAGCCTGGCAGGTGACTCTCCGAGTACCCGCATCGCAGCCCTGTCTTCTCACTAGAGGGGGCCAGAGAGGCAGGAGAAGAATGACCTTTGGGATCCCATGGGCGTGGGTGTGGTTTGGGACTGAGTTTGGAGGCTGGGGAGGGTCTCGCGTAGGGGTGCTGCTGGGGTTGATGTAGGAGTCACCACACTCGCCCCCAGGTGTGCCAGAAAGCGGGTGAGATCTCACTCCTGAAACAGCAGCTGAAGGAGTCCCAGGCGGACGTGAGCCAGAAGCTGAGCGAGATCGTGGGGCTGCGCTCGCAGCTGCGGGAGGGCCGGGCCTCCTTGCGCCAGAAGGAGGAGCAGCTGCTGACCCTGCGGGACTCGCTGGGCGCCAAGCAGCCCAGCCTGGAGCTGCAGCTGCGGGAGGGCGAGACGGAGCTGGGCCCGGGGTTGCGCCTGCGGGACCGCGTAGGCCCCAGCGAGCCTCGGGCAGGGGAGGCTGCAGCCGCCGACGGGACTGCAGCCGCCACCACCTCCGGGGAGCCCGCAGAGCTCTGCGAGAGCGACGAGGCCAAAATGCGCAGACAGGCAGCGGCATCCTCCTCCTCCTCCTCGTCCTCGGGCCCCCCCCAGGACGGGGAGGGCGACGGGGCAGACACGGCCGGAGCCCGAGCCCTGCGGCGGGAGGTGGGCCGCCTGCAGGCAGAGCTGGCGGCCGAGCGGCGAGCCCGGGAGCGGCAGGGAGCCGGCTTTGCCGAGGAGCGGCGCGTGTGGCTGGAGGAGAAGGAGAAGGTCATCGAATACCAGAAGCAGCTGCAGCTCAACTACGTGGAGATGTACCAGCGCAACCAGGAGCTGGCCCGGCGCCTCGGGGAGCTGGGGGCCGCGGGCGCCTCCCTGCCCGCACCCATGCCCCTGCCTGGACCCGTGCCCGCGGCCCACAGTGTCTCGGGGGAAGAGAAGAAGGCCTGGACCCCGTCCCGCCTGGAACGCATCGAGTCCACTGAGATCTGACCCCAACCGGCCCTCCCCGGACAGGTCCATGGGCACTGAACTCGCTCGACATTTTTTTCTAGTTTGGACAAGATGACCAAGGCCCCACCCCCAATGACCCATGGTGGCCTTTGGTACTAAATCTAGGTCCGCGGCCCCAGTCCCTGGCCCTGGGGAGCCCCAGCTTCCACACCCCTTCCCCAGAGTCCCCAGACCAAAGAGGTTCACGAAGCTCCGGTGACCATACCCCTGTCCACCCACACCCACGCTGTGTCAGCCCCAAGATTTTCCATTCCCAAACCCTAGGCTTCCAATCCTAGGCTCCTGCCTGGAGGAGGAGGAAGAAGGCACTGGCTAGTCTGCTCAGGATCCATGGTGGGGTGGGGATAGAGGCACGTAGAATCTTAAGTAGATAGCCGGTGGAGTGGGACTTGGAGAAGCTGGGGGCTGGCCCTGACTACCGATGATCCCAAAGCACACTTTAAGAAAGAGTCCTGGACCAGTGTCTCCCCTACATCTCCCTATCCTAGCCCTTGCCGAGTCCCCCGACCCCGTCTCCTCCGTGCACTTTCTAATTGGGGTTATCTGCTCGGCACGACCAAAGACCCTAGGGCCCTCCCCACACGCATCCTTCGGTAGAGGCAAGGACCCACTCCAGCACTTTTTTCTCTAGAATGGTTGAGGGGTGGGGTTGTAGATGAGGTGCAGGAAGTAGGGTTGGTGGCTGAAAGCCTAGAAGTTTCCTTGGGGATGGAGATGGGAGCTGAGTGTCTATCAGTTTGTCTGGGTCTTGCCATCTCAACACCTCTTCCACCCCCCTCCCCAATCTCAGTCACTCAGTCCTTGCCCCAGTATCTCTCCCTCCTCCCCTCCCAAACCCCCAAGGCTGAACACTGTCCCCAGCCAACCACCTCCCCACCCCCATCCTTGGGGCAAGAAGCTTGATCTCTGAAGCATCTCTGAAGCATTTCTGACCATCCACACCTTTAGGGTTTGGGTTATTTTAGGGAAATAACAAAGACACCAGGCCTTCCTGTGATGGGGCTAGAGGTGGGGGCCTTCTTGGGATTCACCAGCAATAACAGGGAGGTTCAGCATCGTCATCTCCCCCCATCCCAGAGCTGACCTGGGGGGAGCTGGTAAATCTTGTGCCCTCCCAATCCCACCCCTCCAAATCAATGGGCCCCTACAACTCCAAGCCCTGACTGCCCTACCCCAACTAGGACTGTTCTTGAACAACCAAATTTAATTCTTTGGACCCTTGAGACACCCCAGGAGCATGCATGATAGCCAGACTGACCCTCAAGGGTACAGATGGACAGGCTAGCCCCCTAGGAAAAGAGCCAAGGGAAAGATCAGGGGTGGGCTGGGAAAGCTAAGCCCTGGGGTGAGGGACAGAGGAAGGCTGCACAGCCTTCAAAGGTAGCAGCACCCTCAGCCTTTGAGAAGAAGCAGGTCTTAAAAGAATACAACCCTTGTCTATCTGTTTATCCAACTGTGCAGGACTTTTGGGGTTTTCACAAAGAAATAAAAAAGAAAGGCCAACCCCTCTAAAGGGGCCTTCCCTGGTCTCTGTCTTTATTGGGGGCATGCTGGATTGTTAAGAGGGAGGGTGAATGAGGTTCGAAGTCCAGGAGTCAGCTGGCCCTACTACATTGGCTTAGTCTAGGGGTGGGAAACCTGCAGCCTCAAGGTCACATGGGGCCCTCTAGGTGCTCAAGTGTGGCCCTTTGAGTCCAAGTTCTACAGAACAATCCTTGTATTAAGGGGATTTGTTCTGTGAAGTTTGGGTTCAGTCAAAGGGCTGCACTTGAGGACCCAAAGGGCCACATGTGGCTTTGAGGCCACAGGTCCCCCCTCCCCTAGTCAAAGTATTGTTTCAGACTTCCTTAGTACCAGTGGGTCCCACCCATCCAGACCCAGCTGGAGCCCACTCATTGAGGAAACAATTGCTGAGTGTTGCTCTGGTTCTCACAAGCAAGGATGGAGGCCCAGCCTTGGTCTGACTGAGCGCCATTCAATTTGGGGGCAATAGCTCAGCATAACATGGATGTTGGTGGAAGGTCCCAACAGGGAAGGGTAGGCCCAAGCTTCTACATAGGTTTCTGTCTATAATTGGACTCAAATACTGTAACCAACCTTCCTGTCAGTGGCAGTCCTGGACTGATTTCTAGTTCCAGCTTTGTTGCCATCCCTCTAAGACTTTGGGAGAGTTACTTCAATTCTCTTATCTGTAAAATAGATCTCTTCTACTTGGAATGGAGGGTTAATTGCCCTCTGACTTCCATAGGCAGAAAAACAATCCTGACATTACTTCTTGGGCTTCAGGCTCTACTTTTTCCATCAAAGGGAGATGGGATTTTTCTCTTCTGAGAAGAGGAAGTGACTTCCTCTGTTTTCTTCTAGAGGAGAGATCCTCAAAGCACATTGCTAAGAAAGTAAAAACCTGTACTTTGTGATGCTTCTCAGTCTGACTCCTGCAAGCTCTGCCTCCACAAGTTTTAAACACATTTCACTCCCTAAGCGCTGGTGGTGTCTTTCGAATACATTTTTAAAAAATTTATTTTATTTTTTTAATACGCTATTAATGATGATCTCACACCTCAAATCTCCAGGCTTCCTATTGCCGGTTCAATCAATTATACATTCCTGACCCTGGCATTCGAGGCCATCTCTGATGGCCTTAATATTATGGTTCTTTCGACCCTTGCATCATGCTACTTCTAGCTACAGGTAGTGGATGTTCTAGCCAATTGGACTGTTCTCCCTACCCTGTTCGTGTCATGCCATTTCTATCTCCTTGGTTTTAACACACACACATACATACCTCTCTACCTCCTCCTCCCCAAACCTGAAATGAACTCCCTGTCCCCTATCATTTATGACAGAGGTTTCCTTCTAGGCCCAGTTCAGTTTCTGCTGCTCTGTGGTCAAAGCAATATTTCCCTTTTCAAAATTCCCATAGGCCTTTGCTGGGACTTCTCTTTGGCACTGACTGAACATTCTGCATTATAGTCATTTTCAAATTCAACAAATAAGAATCACTTCCTTCACTGTGCTAGTTGTTAAAAAAGGAAGTTGACTTCAAAAACTTTGCAGACTATAAAGAGGAATAAGTAGGGGGTGCTGGTAGAATTTTAACATGATTCCCACCTCTCATGTACGTACTGTACACTTTTAAGTTTAATCTGCATTATTATCACTTTCTTAAATCGAAATAACAGAACAATGAAGCCCTGATTTTTGGAGGTATAAATGCTGAGCTAAAAATTTAACAATTGCCTGGCTTGCCCCTTCACACTCCTGATAAGATACATAGGGAGATACATACAACAATTGGCTTCCTCCAACATATCCCGAATAAGATACATATAACAAAAGTCTGGCTCCTCTACACCCCGATGAGATACATAGGAATATAATATAACACTTGTCTTCCTCCAACACACCCCTGATGAGATACATAGGGAGATACATAATAATACAGGGTAGGTTATGTTGGAGGCAGAGAAGAGCATAAGGGAAATTCAAAGGAGAGAAAGTCAATTAAAGGAAGAATTGATCCCTGAGCTGAGCCTTAAAGGAAGAAGATTGTGAAGGTTCAAAAAAAAAATATGACTTATGTGACTTCCTAGTTTAGCCAACATCTTGGCTACTAGCCAAAAGTGCAAGGGGTGGGGTGGGGTGGGGCAGGGGGCTGGGGAGGATTGTTAATGCGGTTTGTCCTTCATTCTCAAAGAGGGCTATGGCTTCTGGAAGGTGATGCCGGGACTTGCAAGTGAATTGCATTTAAGTGACAGAGGGCTGTGCAAAGTCACCAGCCTTTCTTTTTTTAAAAAATTAATTTTATTTTGAATTATCAATAATCACTTCCATAAGCTTTTGAGTTTTAAATTTTTCTCCCCCCACCTCCCTCCCTAAGACAGCACACAATCTGATATAGTCTATACATATACATTCCCATTAAACATATTTTCACATTAGTGATGTAAGTAAGAATTAGAACCAATAGGATGAACCACCAGAAAGAGGAAACAAAACAGAAGAAAATAAATAGCAAATAGTATACTTCAATCTGCATTCAAACTCCATAGTTCTTTGGATGTGGATAGCATTTTCCATCATGAGGCCTTTGGAGATGTCTTAGATCCTTGTATTGCTGAGAAGGGTTAAGTCTATCAATATTAGTACCTAACTGATTATGTTATTCCCTTCTTGAGCCAAATCTGATGAGAGTAAGGTTCAAACAATGCTCCTCTCCTTCCCTTTCCCTCTGCTGTAATAGGTTTTTGTGCCTTTTCCTGCAGTGTAATTTACCCTTGTCTGCCTCCTGTTTTCCTTTTCTCAGTACATTTTCATAGTTAGATCAGATTAATCCACTTACTTGGATCCATTTAACCCACTTGATTAAATTTTTTTTATCATGACATCAAAGTCAACTTATACCCACCCCATTTATATATATCCCTTTAACATGGTGTAATAACAATACAGTTCTTCCCTTGTAGGAATGTAAACAGCTTGCCCTTATTAATAAAATGTTGTTTCTGTCCTGTTTACCTTTTTATGTCTCTCTTGAGTCTTGTATTTGAAGATCAAATTTTCTGTTGAGCTCTGGCCTTTTTATCAGGAAGATTTGGAAGTCCCCTATTTCATTGAATATCCTTCTCCTCCCCTGAAAGATCATGCTCCTTTTCGCTGGGTCAGCCTAACTTTCTCCACCAGAGCCAACCAGTTCCAGTGGCAAGATACAAATCAGGATGGCTGGAGATGGCCCTGAAGATGGTGCCTCCGGCAAGTTGTGGTATGATGGGTGTGCACTGCCCAAAACGGAAGATTATTTTGGAGCTGTATGAGGAATGGATAGAAGGGACAGAATGCAGGCAGAGTGACCAATTAGCAGGTCATTATAACAGTGCAGGTGAGAGTCGATAAAGGTTGGACCCAGGGTGGACATAGGGGATAACCTGGAGAGTTATTGCAGGGTTGGAACTGACAGGATTGGCAATGATTGGGGGGGAGGGGAGAGGGCTGAGTGGGAAGGTAAGAGAGAAAAACTAAAAATGACCAAGTTTACAAGGCTGGATGATTACAAGAATAGTGATGCTATTGTCAAGTCCTGAAATAAAGCCATGAGTTGAGGAATAAAGTGTCTTTAATTAAGATAACAGGGTAGCAAACCTGCCACCCTGGGAGATGTCCCATGAATGCAGAGCACAGTGGATTTTCCAACTCCAAGACCCATGCAAAAAACTTCTTATACCTTTAGGAAGAGAGGGGAAGGAGACAGTGTGAGGTAGCAAGGCCTGGTCACGAGACCCCAGGTGCTCTTGGCAATGCCAGTAAGGAAAATCACTTTATTCTGGCTCTTTTGCCCTTTGTGCTAAGAATCATAATGGAAGGGAGCAAAGACATTAGAAGCTGAGATCCAACGTAAGATAGGTTCCTTTACAAGGTAAAATTGCGGGGGGGGGGGGGGGGGGGGGGGGGGAAGGGACTTAGGGTGTGGTTCAGTTCAACCTAATCAAGAGTAAATAGCTTAAGGGGCAGCTAGGTGGCGCAGTGCATAGAGCTCAGGTCCTGCAGTCAGGAGGACCTGAGTTCAAATACGACCTCTGACACTTGACACTTACTAGCTGTGTAACCCTGGGCAGGTCACTTAACCCCAATTGCCTCACAAAAAAAAAAAGAGTAAATAGCTTAAGAGTACGAATGTAAAGACAGTACTGAAATTCTGACTGGGATCATTAAGGGAGTGACAAGTAACATTTGGTATTAATAATTTTCTGTCACTAGCAACAAAAATGGGGAAGCTGGAACCCAGGGAAGGTTTGAGCTGTGTATGTGAAGGGGATGGAGCTGGGAAAAGATATGATCATTTTCATTTTAATCATCTTTGGGCCTCCGTTTCTTCAACTATAAAGCAAAGAGGAAGAAAACAAGCATTAATGAAACAAACTTGACAAATATTATCTTATTTGATTCTCACAACCCTTTGAAGTAGATGCTTTAATTAGCTCCATTTTACAGGTGGGGAAACTGAAGTAGGCAGAGGTTAAGTGACTCATCGAAGGTCACACAACTAATGTGTCTGAGGTCAGATTTGAACTCAAATCTTCCTGACTACAGGCCCAGAACTCCACCACCTATTGTTTTTCAAGTCATTTTAGACTCTACATGACCCCATTTGGGGTTTTCTTGGCAGAGATACTGGAGTGGTTTGCCATTTCCTTCTCCAGCTCATTTTACAGATGAGGAAACTGAGGCAAACAGGGTTAAGTGACTTGCCAGGGTCATACAACTAGTAAGTGTCTAGGGCTAGATTTGAACTCAGGACTATGAATTTTTCTGACTCCAGACCCACTTCACCGTCTATCTGCCCTGTACCACCTAGTACTCCATAAAATGAGGGAGCTAAAGTAGATGATCTAAGGTCCCTTTCAGCTATAAATCCTGTGATCCCAGATAATAATTGAACTTAAGGGTGTAGATGAGATCATCAAGGGAAAGAGGATAAAGAGAAGAAGGTCTAGGAAAGGACTTTGGAAGACACCTATATTTTTAGGAAGTAGGAAGAGGAGGAGGATCCAGGCACAGAAAATAAAGAAGTCAGAACAGTAGGGGACACTAGTGAGATAGAAACCAAGGCATGGGAGAGCTCTAAGGAGGTGGCCATGTTCAACAGCATTAAAAGCTTCAGAAAAGTCCAGGAAGAAGAGGATTGAGAAAAAACCACCTGATTTAGCAGTTAGGAGATAACACTGGTGATTTTTTTTTTGGTCGAGGGCAATTGGGGTCAAGTGACTTGCCCAAAGTCACACAGCTAGTAAGTGCTATGTGTCTGAGACCAGATTTGAACTCAGTTCTTCCTGACTCCAAGGCCAGAGCTCTAAGCCATGGGACCACCTAGCTGTCCTTAACATTGGTGATTTTTAATGGAGGAGTTTCAATACAGTGGTCAGATTAGAAGCCAGACTACAAGGGGTTAAAGAGGCAGCTGGTACAGATAATTACACTTCAGCAGGGAAAGAGAGGAGAGATATAGGATGACAGCTTGAAGGCATGGCAGGACCTGATGAATGCCTGAATTTTTGCAAGTGGTTGCTTCCCCTATCAATCCTCTCACCATGAAAGGATAAGAAGAAAACAGAACAGGAGAGATAAAAGACAGAAGAGAGGGATAATGAATGAAATGTAGTCCAGATCCAGTCACAGGATGTTCCCCCTCAAAAATGTAGCCCAAGTTCAAGGCAGGCTTTGTGGGCCTCAGACACACAACTCATGATCAGTTGACCAATATTTTAACTGAACAGCCCCAAAACACACTATTTCAAAGCAAAAGACATTTAATTAAATAGCAGAGCAAAACAAATGACAAGGAATGCCCTCCTATACATAGACTCTACCATTACTTATCACCCCTCCAATGGGAGAGGGAACCTCTACATAGGAAACACATATATAAAGGGCACACACACGGGAAACATATGTGCATAGCCAGGACAACTTGTATTCCTAAGGTGGCATACTTTAGGATGTCCTCAGACTATCTGGGCAGCCTGGCAAATGTCATCCGACTGTGGGCTCCTGGCTATTCTCTCTGCTCATCCATCGGTGTCTGAGGTGCTCTCTATAATATCTCTTAAGGATCTCTGCTGCCACCTATTAGTTTTTAACTGACTTGCTGCTACCGCATACCACAAATTCCCTTTTCTCTTTCTGAGAGGGGTTTTCTGGCTTTGTTAGCACATAGTGCCAAAATCAAACTCCCTTTTGGTTGCCCTTCTCTGGGCAGTATCCTTCCTAAGATCTGGCACTCAGAATAAAACGTAAAACTCCAGGCGTGTTCTCATCAGGGCAGAGTACGAAAGGACTTTTTCCTCCTTATTTCTGGAAGCTATGCCTTTCAATGAAACCTGGGAGCCCATTAGCTATTATATTGGCTGTCATACCACAGTGTTGACTCAGATTGAGTTTGTGAGGCATTAACATTATCAGATAGTTTTCAGGCAAGATGCTAAGGAAATCAAACTTCCTCAGTTTCATACTTCAGAAGTAGATTTTGACTTTGCAATTATCTCAACTGAATTTCATCTTATTAGGTTCTGCCCAATGTTTAAGCCTGTCAAGGTCTTTTGGGAGTCTGACTGCCATCCAGCTTCCTGGCTCTGGCTGGTCTTGGATGGAGGCAAGGCTATTGAGTGAATGCAAAGTTCTGGCTTCTCCCTCCTCCTTCTAGTTCAGCTTTGACAGCTGCATCATCCTTAACAAGTCAAAATGCCAGTTGGACCCACGCCCCGTGTCATGTCGCTTTAAGAAGCGGAGAACCACGCCACCTCACGGGACTCCTGGACCGGGCAAACGAAAGCGCCCGAGACGCTGGTCCAGAAAGCGAAGGAAGACGTGGCTCGGTTTGAGCCTCCGCAGTCCCTGTAGCTCAGGCAGGCGGAAGTGGAGCAGCGCCGCTTGCCGGAAGTGGCTGCGTTGTTGCGCTTGAGGTCTGTTTGCTGCCTCCGGCCGCCAGCGTCTCGGGAGCTGATGTGACCCTCGCGGCCCTCCTGGCCCAGGTGAGTCCCCGGGACGTGGGAGGCGGATTCTCGTTCTCCTTCGGCACGTCATGCCGTGGCCGACCTCCCGGAGGTGCACGACATTCTCCCATGGCTGCCCGTAACTGCCACGGGGCGAGCAGGAGTTTGTGACGTCGCCGTGTTGGGCCGTGGCGCAGTCTGAGCCCCCGACGCCCCCGCGTACGAGGCACGGCGATCCGACACCGAGGATTGAGCGGGGGCAGCCGCCTTTCCTGGAAGGCGGGTGTGCGGGCCCGGGACTCCCGGCGTTTTCCCCAGGTGTTACGCACCGTGGGGTTGCAAGCGCCGTGCACTGAGATCCCTAACCTGTTGGGGGTGGGGCGTGGAGCTGGGGCGTGGAGCTGGGGCCTAAGATCCCTCCGCCCGTGGCAGAGAAGGAAGGTGTCACTTCTATATTGACTTGCAGGCCCGGTACGTAGAGATAATTTTCCTTATCTCTCTCTCCTCCTCCCAGCCCGGGCCTTAACCCTGCCGATTACCCCGGCGGGAGCATCGGGCACTGCCCACCCTGGTTTTCTTATGTAAGCAGCCGCCTGCCCTCTTAGCACTATGGCGGAAGAGGATGCCGTCTCCAGGCTAGATGATGTGGCCTTGAGTTACCCTCTCTAGGCCTCTGCGCAGCAGCAGCCTCCTGGCCTGGCCGGGAACCACGCCCCTCCCCCTCCCTCCCGCAAAAGGTGGCACGTGATGCCGAATTTCACTGTGAGGTTGCTTTAATTTCTCGTCGCCTTTTTGATCATCGGTAGAAAAGATGAAAGCAAATGACCTTTTGGGGGGGGCGGGGAACCCACCTAGGCAATATGTGGTGGTGTCGTTTCGTTTTAGAATTAAAAATAAGGCCTATCCCGGTAAAATCGTCATCAGTCTTTTACATAACCATTCCTCCCGACCTTCGTGCTTATTTGACATATTTGTCTTTTTCGGCAGGGCTATCTGCGTTATTCTCCAGGATTTTTGTTTGTTTTTCCCTGGTTGAGCCCAGGGCCACTGCTGGTGAAGGATGAGGACTAATTTCTGTTGGGTTCTGGTTTTTTTTTCTCCCCTCCGAGTATTTGTTTGCTTAATCCTTTCCCTTTAGGGGAAGTAATCATATCTCACTCTAGCCTTTGGTAGGAAGCTAAGGTGGATTCTTGAGAACTCCTTTTTGCACCTAGCTCTGAAAAGCCTGTTGGCTAACAATCTAGTGGAGTATGTTGGGGCTGTTGATTGAGGCTCCGAGTGAGGGTCCTGGTAATGCTCTAATTGTCTGAGTTCCTTTCTATTCCGTTTTCTCTGTGTGTGTAAAGTGAGGTTGATGATACTGTTAACAGCAAGGTGATAAAGAATAAAAAAATGGAGAGTAAAGAGAATTACTGGCACCTTGTGGCCGTAAAATAGAATACTGTATGACTGTGTAAATGAACCAGCTTTTCAAAATCGAGCAGGTCTGTTTCCTTTACAGTTTTCCCCCTTCCATTTAGTTTTTTTTTTTAGTTTTTTTTTCCCCTGTTTTTTGTAAGCCCATTAAATTATGGCAAGGTCATAAGTTTTCAGATTAACCCGCATTGCTACCAAAGGAATCTGTGGTGCACTAGAAATCTTGTATGTCAGAGGTTGTATATCAGAGCAGTGCAGGTGATTGTTCTGTGAAAGGTGAAAGAGGCTTCCGTGAAGCTCAAGCTAGATGTCAAGGACTTGTGATGGGGAAAAACTAAGGTACTGATTGTTTTGCTCCCAGTGTTCTGAACCTGGCTTTTCTTGTCAGCTCCCTGAGCAAACAGCTCAAGAGGGGTTTTTTTTATTTCTTCCCCTTCATACTCTTTTTCCATTGTTTCACCTTAACCATTTGTCACATCTTGTTTGGCTTCTACTTATTCCTTTTTCTCACCTCTTTGTTTTCTCAACAGTGTTCAGGCCTCAATTGGCAAGCCTGGGAGTAGGGATACATTTTTCACTGAAACACATAGAAGTAATGCTCATTAGGGAAGCAGTTCCCAGACTGTGTATGTGTAATCCTGATGATGTGCACCACTTGAATACATAGGTTTAAAGAGAAAACGATGGTGTAAGTGATATTTTTCTCCTCCAGATTATGAAATATTATATCAAATGTATTAAAATATTTAATGCATTATTATTCTTAATTAGTGTATTAAAATATTTAAATGATGCATGCCTCATTTTTGGCATGAAAACAGGTTTAGTTTTCTCTATTTTCTTTAAAAACCTCATGTTATTCTTTTATCTCTGTTTTGTGCCCTACCCCTGATTTGTCCCACCAACAGCAATGTCTTTCAGTCCTCAAAATGCTTTATAGCCAAATTTGTTTTGGAAATGCAGTGCTAGAAGTAGTTCCTCCTAGACTCTGGTAACTTGTTGACTGGCCTCCTGCCTAAGAGAAAGGTCAGTTTTTTAAAAAATAGCATTTTATTTTTTCTGATTACATGTAAAGATAGTTTTCAACATTCATTTTTCGTAAGATTTTGAGTTCCACATTTTTCTCCCCCCCCCAAGATGGCAGGCAATCTGATACAGGTTATACATGTGTAATAATATTAAACATAATTCCACATTAGTCATGTTGTCGAAGAAGAAATAGAACAAAGGGGGAAAACCACAGGGGGAAAAAAAGTGAAAATAGTATGCCTTAGTCTACAGTCAGACTCCATAGTTCTTTCTCTGGATATAAGATGGCATTTTTTATCATGAGTCTTTTGGAATTGTCTTGGATCATTGTATTGCAGAGAGGAGTTAAGTGATAGTTGATCGTCTAACATCGTTCCTGTTACTGTGTATAATGTTGTTCTGGTTCGGCTCACTTCACTCAGCATCAGTTCATGTAAGTCTTTCCAGGTTGGAAAGGTCCATTTTAAGTCAGTCCCTCACCAGATGTTCTGAATGGAGAACAAAGAGTAGGTGCCCCTGCATGTGTGGGCACAGAGGTTCCTCATAGCTTTTCCCAAGGAGTTAGAACTGTGGAGTCAGAACTTCACAGATGAGTTAATTAAGACCTAGTTTTTTAGCAGAGGCAACATGAGATAGAGAGCAGGACTTGGAGGGGTCAGGAGATCTGGGTTCAGAACCTGACAGACGTCTCCCAAGTGTGTAACTGTAGAAAAACCACTTTACTTCTTGGGGCCTCAGTTTCCTTGTTTGCAAAAGAGAGATAATCACGTGCCCATCGTTTCTCTATTAGGGCTTTGTGAGAAAATATTTAAGTACTATATAAATGTGAATTGTTAATAATATTTTCAGTGTGTTTCCCAGAGTGGACTCAAAAAGAGGTGAGCTGTGTCAGCCTAGAGGGGAAGGTCCAAGGCAGTTTTGAGGAGCGTGCTGCCTCGAGGCCACATGTGGCCCTCTGGATCCTCAAGTGCAGCTCTTTGAATCCAAACTTCACAGAACAAATCCCCTTAATAAAAGGATTTGTTCTATAAAACTTGGTGTCAGTCGAAAGGCTGAACCCAAGGACCTAGAAGTCCCCATCCCTGGTCTAAGGTCTTTAATGGAGTGCTTTAGATGCTATCCATGGTTCTGTTCTGTTAAATAGTTTTATCAGTGACTTGGATAAAGATGTAGATGGCATAATAATCAAATTTGCTGATAACACAAGGCTATGGAGGAGAGGCAGCATATTGGATGACAAAGTGGGATGCAAAAATATCTCAATGTGCTAGAATGATAGGACAAAACTAATAATTGTGAAATTAAAAGTGAAAATTATTGACTATAAAGCTCTGCAGTTAGATTTTTAAAAAATAGCTAGACAGAAGTTCATGCAAAAAAAGGCCCAGTGGTTTTAATGAGTTGTAAGCTCAGTAAAAGTCAGCAGTGTTACCTAGCAACCAAAAAATCTAATGTGATCTCAGGATGCATTAACAGAGGCATGGGGGTAGAATGAGGGACATGATAGTCCTATTGTCTTCTCCCATGGTCAGTTGATACCTGGAAAATTGGATTTGGTTATGGACACTGCATTAAAAAAAACACATCATAATTGAAAAAAACTGATCAATATCTTTGCTTTAATATCACCTTTATTTTCTTTTTAAAAAAATTTTATTAATTTATTTTGATTTATCAGCAATCACTTCCATATGCTTTTGAGTTGAAAATTTTTCTCTCTCTTCCTCCCCCTTACCCCCCCAAGACAGCACACAGTCTGATATAGGCTTTACATTTACATTCCTATTAAACATATTTTCACATTAGTGAAGTTGTAAGTAAAAATTAAAACCAATAGGAGGAACCATCAGAAAGATGAAACAAAACTCAACAGAAGGTAAAAATAAGTGATAGCGATTTGACTTCCATAGTTCTTTCTTTGGATGTGGGCAGCATTTTCCATCCCGAGGCCTCTGGAGATGTCTTAAATCCTTGTAATGCTGAGAAGGGTTCATTTTAACAATATTAGTCACCGTATAATGTATCACCTCTTTTTTCAAATATAATTTCTCTTCCTCATTTACTCAATCATCTATCCCTTACAACAAAGAATAAAAGAGAAAAAAAACAGTTTAGCAAAAACACATCAACTTAATCTGACAGTATGATATAGTCCACACTTATAGTCCCTTACGTCTGCAAAGGAGGGGGAAATGCATCTTCTCATCTCTTCCTCAGGGCCCTCAGCCTGGTCACTGTAATCATACAGCATTCAGTTTTGTTTTGTTTTGTTTTTTTCCGCTTACTGTTGTCATGATTGTGCATGTTATTTTCCTAGTTTTCCTTGCTGTACTCTGCATCATTTTATAGTAAGTCTTTCTGTGCTTCTGAATCCTTGCTATTCATTGTTTCTAATAGCACGGTAATATTCCATTGTATTCATGTACCATTCTAGACACTGCATTTAAAAATTAATAATTTATTGATGCTGTTAAAAAATGTCACTGTCACTTCACTCTGATCCAGTTCTCCCTCAAAAAAAAAATCCTTCCTTGTAACAAAGAAATATAAAGAAAATACTTCAACCATTGACTATGCATGATAACATATACTTC